CTTGTTAAACTTTCTCCCCCTGCATCTCTCATGGGCTGTCTTTCCATCCGTGTCTATCGTGAACTTGTTAACCAGAGAAGACGCATAGCTCACCAGCCATGGTATAATCGTGTGACTCTCACTAAACTCGGTCTTGTAATTGGCATCCAAGGCGCTCTTTAATGTCCTAACTTGCCCTTGCACCGTCCTAACTGCTCTCTCGATCTCACCGTTGGCCTTTGAGTCGCCTACAGGACTGACTTCAACACCCATGTCGAGGTCACATGACGCTTTAATCCTGTTGGCCAGCGCCGTGATTGCCGCTTCTCCATCGCTTTTGAGTATAACCTTCTTATATCCGGTAAAACTGATCATGTCACATCCCACCTTCACTGAGTATGAGTCCACTCCTTTCTTCAACAACACTCGGCTCCACGTAAAATTGGCCCCCGTGCAATGCATGGCCAGAATTGGGTTGCCGTTGCTGGCACTTTCGCCTTCTTCCTTTTTCCCTTTAAGCCACATGTAGTCCATTGAAATTACTGGTGCGCTTCCGTTCCTTTCCCTTTTACGTCTCCAGCGATTGCGCCTGCGTGCTTTTCCTCTAACACAATGTGGGCACCAGCTTCGGTAAGGTAAATGCGTTGTGTTGTGCGCCTCAACTTCCTCCCTTGAGGGCCTCATGTCACAGTAAACTTTCTTCGGTAACTCCGCTTCGTCGCTCGCAAATACATCTTCCACATCACTCAACTCACTCTCGCTGCCCCCACTTTCACTCCCTTCGCCTTCTTCGGCGTTGAAGACGTTTAAGTTTTCGCTAGGCATTACGGGTAATGAGGGGCTTAGTAGAACAGGTCCGCCTCCAGGGTTCCCGGCCGCGGAAAACCCTCAGCTGCGTTCACTTCACTCTTGGGATTAACGGCCTCCACTGGTCCCTTCGCCACCGTGATGTTGAACTGAAGCGTGCCGTTCTTCTCGTGGATGGTTGTGCATTTACCTGTGGCCTTATTCATGATGTGACTCAGGGATCTCCCGTTAAGATCCTTGTCAAGCACAACTCTGTTTCCAGCGTTTACCATTTCTCTGACGGATCCCAGAACTTTGTTGACTTCCGCTACCTGAATCGGCATGCTGACTGCGTTTCCATGTTCATTCTTGCCGGTGGCCACTCGCTGCCCGTAATTCTTTATCGTCGTTCCATTTGCTGCGCTGTAATGTCTTCCCTGCTTTGACGCATCCGTTTGTTTAATGGGGAAATAGGTGCCTACTTTAGGGGGTCCCACCGTGTTGTACGCCCCAGAGTCCACGGTAACCACAATTGTTCCATGCGTTGTACTCTGAGGTGGCACTGCGTTAATTTCTGGATCACAGTCTCGCATCTCGATTAGCCCAATCTCTCTGCATTTCTCCAGCCAACTTTTTTCCCGTTTTACACTTTTACTGATCCTCTGGTCCCATTGATTCACATGATTGCAGTTCCCGTTGTATTGATGCTCATGGTAAGCTCTTCTCAGGTCCATTGCGACTTTACGCGCCATTTTCTTTCTGGTATATGAGGGCAGTGCCCATTGCCCGTTAGCCTCCTCAGTTGTGAGTTGGTCCGGTGGCACGTTCACTACATCCCTCATTTCAACGCTGAGAACATGTCGCGGTTGGCCAAATGAGGTGGTTTGTTCACTTTCCGCGTTCACCGTCGGTCTCTCTTGCCCAACTTCGTTGGCGGTCTTCTTGGGGCCCGGGCAATTAACGGCGATATGCCCTTTGGCGCCACACTTGTAGCACTCACGCTCGCTGTGGGGGGTAAATTTTCCTTGGCCTCCGTAACTTCCACCCCACGAGCCACTCCCTTTACCACCTTGTTTGCCTCCAATCTTACCTTTCATGTAGGACCCGTAGGTGGCCCGGTAACCCTTGCCTTTTCCGCCTTTGCCACCTTTGCCGCCTTTGGTGAACTGTTTAGGTTTTGTGCAGTTCCTGGCTAAATGACCCATGCCTCCGCAATTGTAACATTTGGGGCCTGTGCCTTTACCTTTGCCTTTGTTTACGGCGTCGACTTCTTCGTGATCTCCACTGTTGCTCTCATTAGCCCAGGACCCGTAACTCCAAGACCCATCTTCTGGCCACCAATTTCCGTCCTCGTCAACCCATCCTGTCTGGTCCCAGACATTTTCGGACCCTTGACTCGTCTCGTTGATATTTCCAATGTCCATCGCATCTTTATTCTTGGTGTCTGAGTCGAGTTTCTTTTTACGCGCCCAATCTTCACACTTGGAGTATAGCTTCTGGAATGAGTCAATGTTGAGCGCGTCGGGCGTTCGCCAGCACGCCTGCTGCCACTCGTCAAACCAATCGTTCGCATGCACCATTATTGCCCTGAGTGCGGTGACCTTAAAGTGGAGGGGCAGTGAGTAATCTTTACCATACTTTTCAAGATTCTCTGCCAATGCACTCCACTCCTCAAGTCGGGTAACAGTATCAATAATTTTCTTGGGCGGCTCAGGGTTCATGGCGTGTGTCATATTTGAGGACAGGGTCGCTCCGGTAACAGCCGAGTACCACTTGTAAACCTTTTGCCGAGCCATAATTCCATCACCATCCATAAGTCCCTTCAATTTTCCTCTTGCTTCTGCACCTTCGAGCTTTTCGTTAAGGATGTACCATAAGTCTTCCTCCATTTGAGTTTTGTCTCCCTCGGTAAACTCGTGCTCTCCTTTGTTGTCATCCTCTGCTTGTTTAGTTGGATTCGCCTTCAAGTATTCGCTTGCTGTTAATCGACCGTTCATTATGCGTATGATGTCATCCTCCTCCTCCTCTGGTACAACTCCGTCGAGTGTCTCCAACTTCTTGTTCAGCATTTTCAGTGCCGGTCGGTAACTCGGTTTTACTTGGGCCAGCGCGTTTAAGAACTTGTCGTTCCAGTCTCTGAACTTTGCTCTTTCTCCACTGAAGTTCTTTAACGCCTGTAATGCTTTATACTCGCTTATCGGTTTACCGCTCCCGTGCTTGCTTCCACTTCCTCCTTTGATTGCTTCCGAAAGCTGACCAAATTGTTCAATCAACTTCTCTTGTACCTCGCTGTTGGTCTCCAACTCGGTGACTCTTTCCACCAACCTGCGAGCATCCCTTTCAAGCGCAACGTTTCTCTTCGTTATCGCTAACAACATGCTGTTGGTCTTCTAAGCGCTCTGTAACATTTGGAATGCCTCGGCGTTCGATACTTCCCTTCGGTCCTGTGTCACTCGCTCGTTGATGAACGTTGCAAGTCCATAGTGATTTGCAAGTAACGCTGTCTGAACATAACTGAAGTCTCCGTTCAGGTATGCCTGCTCGCACAGGTCGTTGAAGCGATTGGGGTCCATATTGACCCATGCATCTCTGTCTGCCGGTACATTGAGGTTAACCGGCGGGTCGCCCTGCCCAGGCCTAGCTGCAGCGGCCGCTGCCGCCGCCATGGCAACCGCGCTCCGCTACCATGCAAAACCCCGAGGAGGGTTCTGCACGGGAGCCCAGTAACAGTGATGATGATCGGTCACCTTTATACTCCCGCACGGCGAAGCGAGTCTCGGTGGCTTCAGCCGTTAAACACTTGAGCCAAAGGTAACAGGGTTACAATTCCTCCCCAGTCACCTGAACGCTTGCATGTTAACACCTCCCCCTCCTCCTCCTCCTCCTCCTCCTCCTCCTTCTCCTCCTCCTCCTCCTCCTCATCTCCCTTTTTTCATCCCCATTTTCCCTCCCTTCCCCGCCCGCCCCCCCTCCTCTCCTCCTCCCACCACCTCCTCCCACCACCTCCTCCCTTCTCGTTCCCGCCCCTCCCCCTCCTCTCCAGCCTCCTCCTCCCCAGACACTCGGCGCTCCAACTTTTCAACTTTTCCGATGCGTGCAGCCCCAGAGGCCGAAAGTACAAACCTCCGGCCGCCCCAATTTTGTTTGGAGCATCGGACCTCTGGATGTCCTCCTCGACGACGACAAAAGATGGGGAAACCAAAGGGTACCGATACCGCTACTCCAAGGACCTCTCCCGGAGTGCGTTCGGATCACAAATTCGAGGCGATTCCAGCGGTGGCGACGAGGACCTCCCAGGGGAAAAGAGGGAAAACGGGCGAAGGGAAGCAGTATTGGTGCCCTTTCCTCCCCAGGCTTCGTGGGTTTTTCGAATGGACCGAGGGTTTGGGGCCCAACCCGCGGATACAGGATAGGCGCCCATCCACTAGGGGCGTATCCCAGGGCTTCCCCCATTTTTTTCGGAACGGCCAAAATCTTCGGGCGGAACTCGGGGATGGGGGGAACAAAAATCGCCTGCGACCCTTTGCGCGTGGCTGACGTCGGACGTCGGGGATAGCAGGTCAACGGGCTCCACGCCCCGCGACGGCACCGCCGCCGCCGCCGCCGCTCCCTGCACGTCGCTGTCGCCGCCACTGGTTGGGCGATGCTTGATGGGGTGCGGTATAAAACGAAGCCAGGACGAGGATATAATCGCCTGCGAGGGGAGAAATATCGCCTGCGAGAGGAGACGATGGCCACAGCGGCGGCAGCGACGGCCATCGGGGATCTACTGACCCGGGTCAATCCAAACCCGGGTCAGTCAGGCCGTGCAGGATCCTGCAAGATCCGGCGCTCAAGCTGACCCCCGTTTGCATGACCCGCCGTGCCCAGACCTGCGATTCCTCCTCTAAGAGGAGACGGCGGCGACGGCGACGGCACCGCCGCCGCCGCTTCCCGCACGTCGTCGTCGCCGCCGCCACCCGTTGGGCGATGCTTGATGGGGCGCGGTATCAGACAAAGTCAGGACGAGACAAAATCGCCTGCGAGACGAACAAAAATCGCCTGCGAGAGGACACGACGACGACGACGACGACGACGACGACGACGACGACGACGACGACGACGACTACGACGATGGCGATGGCGACCACGGCGAAGGCGACGACGACGGCCACGGCGACGGCGACGGCTTCGAGGACGGCGACGACGACGACGGCGACAGCGACGACGACGACGACGACGACGGCCGTGGGCGCCTGAACCTCCTGGGCCCAACGACGGCGGGCGGCCGCCCAGGCGCCGGCCCCGCCACGGCCCGCGGCTGCGCGTGGGCCTCCCGCCGAGGAGGCCCGTCGTCGTCGGCCTCCTGCCGAGGAGGAAGGAGGGAGGGAGGGAGGGAAGAATGGAGGGAGGGAGGGAGGGATCAGGGATCACTGCGGCCTCGGTCGTAAATCGACACGCCGAAAGGAAGCCGACACGCGCCGCTGATGCGCGCGTCGGGCATAGCACACCCAACGGGCGTGCTATGCGCTCAACCAGCCCTTGGGAAGGGGGGGGAGCAAAAGCTAGAAGAGGAACGCAAAGCCGGATTGTGCGATCCATGGGGCACGTCTTACATGGCGTCGCCTCATCGCCTCGGCTCGGTTCGCTCGAATTCGCTCGCGTTGGGACTCGCTGAGGAGGGGGGGAGGGGGCGGGAGAGGCGAAGGGGGAACAAAGGGAGAAGCGAGCCCAACGGAGCCTACGTAAAGGTCCTCTTGGGTGGGGTCCTCGGGGGGGTCCAACCTGGGGGCCTGGCTGCCTGGCGGTAGGCTGGGGCCAGGGGAGGTACACTGGGACCCCGCGAACGCCAGGACCAGAGGGCGCCTGAAGCGCTCCCTCTCGGGATCAGGTCGAGAGCTCCGAGGCCCAGCCCGAAAATCCGGCGCCCAGGCAACTCCCTCTTCAGGAATGGACCCGACGAAAAAATCCCGAAGACCCTCCACCTCAGGACAATTCGGCTCGTTCTGGGACCCGGCCCCAGGTTCCAGGGCCGCAAAATCCGCAACCGTCTGGACAATCGACTCGGCAAGGGCCCTGCAAAGGCCGGGGGGGTAGACCTTCTTGGCCGCCGTTTTGAACTCCCCCCCCGTCTCTGCTTTACCCAGGAGCACTGAGTGCGCTCCGCGTCCGTGCGAGCAACGCCCATGGCCGGGCGTCGCCCTCAGGCGTCGATGCAGGCCGCTCACCCGCACGCCGACGATCCTCGTCGGTGCCCTGCCTGCCTTGCCGCCGTGCTCGCACTGGTCGAAGTCCGTGGTGCTGACTACTGGGCACGACTGGAGTGCCAAGAGGGGCTCCCACGTCCAGCTCGTCACAGCCTCGCGGCGCCAGTGCGCCGGGATGGGGTGCTCCATCCACGCCGCGCTGCCTGCTGCCAGGTGGTCCGCCATCAGCTGCACCATGGCCTGGAGCAGCGCATTGCCGACCGCCAGCTGCAGCCTCTGCTTGGGGGTGGCGAGCGGCACCCCCCAGTACTCGTCGTGAGTCCTCAGCGGCGGCGGCCCTGGCATGTCCGACCATCTCGCCGCGCTCCACGTTTCGCATGGCGGGCCGCCGCCTGTGAGGATCACCTGGTGGGATCGGATGGCGTCGCCGAAGGTGCGGAGGTTACTCGACTTCATCAGGTCGCACCTCTCCGCATCGATGGCGACATCAATGCTGAGCACCGCGATCTGGATCGTCGTGCTGATCTGTTCGTAGCTGATGCTCGCTTCGAGGCAGTCTTGGATGTCGTCTGTCCTGCGGACCCCGCAGAAGAGGTTGAGGACAAAGACCTCACTTCGCAGCGGCCTCCAGGGCAGCTGTTCCGTCGCGATGCCCTCATACTTGCCCGTCGGAAACTGGTCCAACGTGTAGCGCTCGAAGGGCGTGTCCTCCTCCTCGGCTGCTGGCGGGGCGGCCCCTTCGCGAGCAAGGAGTACATTCACCGCCCTCTCATCCAGCGCGTAGTCAGATCTGATCAGCGTGGCCGCCATGTGCTTCGCCTCCATGTAGTGACCCTCCTTCAGCAGGTCCTCCCACTGCAGGCATGGGTTGTGCGGTCCTGCTGCTCGCTGCGCCGGCACGTTGACGCGCTTGCGGAAGCCACCCTTCGGGAGCGGGGCCGCCTCTTGCACGGCCTCGCCTCTCAGGTCCACGGGGTCGCACGCCATGGTGATCTGCAGCAGGCAGCCGGGCGAGCCATGGGCCGCGTGCTCAATCAGGTGGTGCTCGCCCTCGAACTGCATCAGGCAGGCCGGGCACTGTGTTGCCCCTTGCAGCCACCTGCGCGCCAGGTCTTGCATCCTCCAGTGCTCCCTGGAGATGTGCACTCGTAGGCCCCTTAGCTTCTTGAAGCCACTGGCACACCATGGGCAGCTCCACCCCGACACTGCTGCGCTTTGGGAAGATCCCTCTGCGCAGGCTGGTACTGGTCCATCATGTGCTGGCGGTCCGAATGGGCTCCCTGGCCGTGTTGAGTAGGGCACGCCTGCTGGCCACACCGTCTTGAAGAAGTGCTGGGCCGCCTCCTGCGCCTGGGTCCTCCTGGCAAGCTCCTCCGCCGCCGCCTTCAGCGCGTCGTTGAGCCTGTGCTTCCAGGTGGTGTGGGAACTGCGGATCTTCCTCTCCCACGGCCTGATATCCACCGCAGGGCGCGGCAGGTCATCGTAGGCGTGGGAGAACTGCCTGAGCCACTGCAGGTCGTCCAGTAGGAGAGCTGGCCAGGATCGACGCCTGGCTGGCGCTGGGGTCATCAGCAGCCCTGCCATGAGGGCGAAGGCCACTGGGGGGCCTGATTGGAGCAGCTCCCCATACAGGCGGAGGCGGGCGACCTTCAGGAGGTCGGCTGGCCTTGACCTGCCTGCTCGGAGGAGGACGTGGTCGTCCGCAGCGTCGGGCGTTTTCTCGAGCTCGCCGCCCTCCTCCTCGTCAGTCCGTCTGACGGGCGAGCTGGACGTGGCCACCCTGTAGACTGACATGATCATGCCGTGGAAATACTTGCTCTCCGCGCCTGTGAGGCCCAACCAGCTGCCCATGGAGTAGGCCCTGGATCCAAGGATGAGGGAATCCGCGAACTCCATCTTGGCCGCCCTCGGGACCCCTGGCTCTCTGCAGACCTTACGTCTGAGTTGGCTCAACTGTTTGCAAGTGGTCTGTGCCCTGCGGTAGAGCTCCGGGTACATGGCGCCGTGGTCGTCGATCACCGTGCCCAGCTGGACGTGGGTGTTGACCAGTCTGACGGACGGGTCCTCGAAGTACTTGGAGACTAGGACGAGCCTGCCCTGGCGGACGTGCCACGCGTCGTGCTTCGCAGCCCTAGAGCCCCTCCCCGCGAACATGAAGAGTGCCTCCGACTTGCCTGGGTCCAGGTTGAGCTGCAGGCCGTACTCGGCGTAGGCGTCCAGTATGATGCCGCCCGCTAGGGCCAGGGCCTCTGCAGCACCGCTGGCCTCGCCGAGGTAGAAGAAGCTGCCGTCATCCGCGAAGGCGACGCTGTGAGATGGGAGCTCCTGCCTCTCGTCCTCGCTGTCGAACTGGTCAGCCAGGGACCTGGAGTCTGTACCCATGATCCAGACGCCAAGCCCTACAGCATGGAGTCGCTGTTCGATGAGCTCGGTGATCTCTCCCATCGCTGTCTCGTAGATCTGGTCCGCCAGGGGCTGACCTGGAATGGACGACTTGGTGCCCAGGGCGACGTGGTCGGAGCCTTCGCACACAAACCAGGAGGCCCTGTACTGCTCGGAGATCAGCGCTCGAAGGTGCCCACACACACCCTTTCTCTCCAGGATGGGGGGGCCTCCGATCGTCTGCCTGAGGAGTCGGCGCGCGCCCTCGGGCACACCCGTGGACTTCGAGATGGCGTCGAGGCCGGGCGCGCTCGTGGTGGTGTGCAGGACAAGCTCCCTCACAAGCGAGTAGAACGCATCCTTGGCATCTAGGAAGAAGGCGGCAAACGTGATCGACTTGGCCATTGCCGTGGCCTGGAGGAGCCGTAGGAGTATGAGCGCGTGTTGTGTGCCCCGTCGCTGGATGCCGCCAAACTGCCTGGGGCCCACCAGACTGGGCATGTGCGGCGACAGCCGCTCGCGGATGCAATGTCGAGCCCGTTTGCCGATGGTCGCGGTGACGGCGAAGCACCTATGGTTGGCGCACTCCTCAATGGCCCTCTTCTTGTGGTGGTGGCGGTAGTAGCCCCCCTTCCACTGCACCGGTTCTACGCCCATGATGGAGAACTTGGTGAGTAGCGGCATGTAGGCCCTGGCGAGCGGCTTCGCAAACTCCTTGCAGAAGCGTCCCTGGAAGCCGTCGACCCCTGCCGCTGTGTCCTTGGCCACGTGGAGGGCCCTCTCCAGCTCCGTGAGCGAGGGGACGCAGGCCGGCTCGAGGACGTGGTCCTGCGGAAGCTCCTCAAAGAAATCGTCGAACATCGCAACCTCAGAGATCGGCACATCTGCCGCGCACTCGACCAAGGCAAAGTGCTGGACCCACCGATCGCCTGCTTCATGGACGTCCTGCGCCATGCTGCCGTCCAACTTGCGAACCATGGGTAGGGTGGACTGCATGCGCTTCTTCTCCGAGCCGATCCCCATGCCTCGCAGCCTGGCGTAGGCGCGCTTGGACTGCCTGTTGCTCCACGCGTCCCCGATGTCGGCTGCGATCCGCGTGTAGTGCATGTTGGCGTCGTCCTTGAGCGAGCTCTGAACTGCGCGCAGGGAGACTCGCCAGGCCCACTCTCGTAGCGCCGCTGCTTTCTGCAGCAGCCTCGTAGTCATGCTGAAGAGGTCGGGCAGGAGCTCCGTCCAGGATGACTCGGCATCATTCAGCAGGTTCATGGTGAACTGGGTCGGCCTCAATACCATCGGCTCCAGGAATAGGTGGCCGTCTGGGCGCACCCTGGCCGGCTGAAGGGGGCACGTCCTTCTATGCTGGATCCTGGCACCTGGGCGCGAATCCGGTATCCGTGGCGACGTGAGGCCAGCCCTCGGTTCGAGGAGCACCGGGGCTGCCGGTTCTGACCTTGGCAAAGCGTGGCCCATCGAGGCATCCGGCAGGCCAGTGGCGACGACTTGGGACGCTCTCGGCTCGAGGAGCACCGAGGCGTCCCGCTCTGACTTCGGCAAAACGCGGCTGCCTCCATCAGCTTCATCTCGCCACTCGTCAGCACCTGCTCCTGCGCAGCCTGCCATCGAGGGTGGAAGGTCGATGGCGGTAACGCTTGAAGTCGCTGGCCATCGTGCCCATGTCATTGTATCCTGGGCATCCCCTTCTGCTGCTGCCGAACTCAAAGCACTGAATGAGGCTGATGCTGCGGCCGCAGCCATTGCCGCACCCGAATCACTGCGG